AATAATGTCTTATTGTGAGAGAGACAGATACTGAGCAAGGGCTATGTTTGAGATGGGATACTAGCATGCTGCATACTGTATAGTTTATGGGAAAAAAAATTGTCTGTTAAATAGTGCATGGTATGCATTGATAAACATTTGAAGCATGTCTGCTAAAATGTCACATGGCATGTTTAATTTAGCGAGAGTTGTTCAGTTATCATCTCTCATGTGTTTCAACTAGAAGCATCAAAGCTGTACATCATCTCACATTGTCTGCTAAAAACACAGACCAATCAGCTGCGAGCTCAAACCTATACCCATGGTAAAATGAAAATAAAATACTTTTAAATTCTTATTTGATTAATTTTCAGCTTTTATAACAATCCACTGTTTCCCACTTTAAACTTTTTCAAAAATATTTAAATATGATTAATTGAATTTGAACTTTTTTTTAATATATTGATACGACTGTATTCTTATGGTTGGAAAAACAGTCAAATATTTATTCAAACATATAATAAAATATATACACTATTGTTCAAAGGTTTAGGATCGGTAAAAGTTTGAATAGTCTCTTATGCTCACCAAGGCTACATTTCTTTAATCAAAAATACTGTAAAAACAGGTAATATTGTGAAATAGTATTTCAATTTAAAATAACCGTTTTCTATTTGAATATATTTTAAACCCGTGGTAAAATGAAAATAAAATACTTTTAAATTCTTATTTGATTAATTTTCAGCTTTTATAACAATCCACTGTTTCCCACTTTAAACTTTTTCAAAAACATTTAAATATGATTAATTGAATTTGAACTTTTTTTTATATATTGATACGACTGTATTCTTATGGTTGGAAAAACAGTCAAATATTTATTCAAACATATAATAAAATATATACACTATTGTTCAAAGGTTTAGGATCGGTAAAAGTTTGAATAGTCTCTTATGCTCACCAAGGCTACATTTCTTTAATCAAAAATACTGTAAAAACAGGTAATATTGTGAAATAGTATTTCAATTTAAAATAACCGTTTTCTATTTGAATATATTTTAAATTTTAATTTATTCCTGTGCTGCAAAGTTGAGTTTGAAATCATCATTATTCCAGTCTTCAGTGTCACATGATCACTCTTGATAAATGTAATGCATACTTGCTGAATGATAGTATAGTAAATTATTGCTTTATGGTTGGGGGAAATAAAGACTCAAGTTGCATTTCAGCAAATTACAGTAGTAGGTCATCTGGGCATTGACATGTTCATAGTGTACATAGTATACATAATGCATACTGTAGCAATTGCATGAGTCAGCATGTCACTCCGAACACTCCCAGATAGAGACACGGATACAAAGAAGGACTGGAAGTAAGAATGTATAATGAATGAAGGTGTACGTTACCGTTCTTTCAGAGAATTCAAATTTAAGACACAGTGTTCTCATTCAACACTCGCACGCATTTGTCAGCACAATCGCTGTACAGTAGATATATTAACCGAGATGTGACTCAATTGAAAACTATGCATCTGTATTTCCCCTTGGATGCTGGCAGCAACTGCAGCACTTTAGCAAAGGTGGAATATAGTTGCCATTGTTCTCTGCTTATGTGTGTGTGTTTGAACACAGGTATGGTCAAAAAGGAAGCCTATCTTCACATAACAGCAATGTGTTGACGGGTCTATTTCACTGACTGCCCCACCACCAAAGAAAAACACCTATAAACCACCCCCACTGAACGGTGTAGCCTGAGCGAGCAGGTATTGTTTTCATCCCCGGCTAAGTACAGATCCTCTTACCCTGCCTGCTATCAGCTGCATGCAGGAAAGCGATGTGAGCTCACAGCGGCCTGCTCACTGACCTGGGACCAGCTTCACCACTCTTTCTCAATGGATTTTAATGCAGCGGCTGATCGGCGTCTGATCGTTGCTCCACAGGTGAATAGCTCACCTCCTCCACCTCCTTCCTCCCTCCCTCCATCCCTCCTTTTCTCTGCCTCTCTTGGATGGTCACTGGAGTCAGTTAGCGGATGGAGTCGAGTTATTCCTGAACTTTGTGCTCCTGAGCTATAAGCTTTTGTGAAAGAAAAAGACAAACGTTCTGGATTATTCTGTTTAAACTCTGCTCGTATTCAAGGTAAAGTGTGATAGCATGAAACGCTGTTTCATTCAAGATGATGACTTTTATCATATATGTTTTTAAGTCCGTTTTCATTGCACTTGAGTGCTTTTGTCATGTGGTTTTTGGAGCATCCAGATTGGGTCTGTTTTCCAATGAAGATCGAATGTGGTGGTGATTGTTGTGTATGATTTCTGATTTTATCTGCACAATGAAGTGCTGCAATTTTAGAAGAGACCGTAATATGCAGTTTTATGATGCTTATAATCTTCCTTTTAAAAACGAAAGGTTCTTCAGTGGTTTTTGGGATTAGCCTAGAAAATGTCGTCTTTTTTTTTTTTTTTTTTGCTTGATGGAATTCTTCAGTTTGGATGATTATTTGAGGACTAAAGTTGTTGATGTCACAGTACATTTAAAGGTTTTTCAGATCAACATTAGTATATATGAAAAAAAAAACATTGTTAAAAGGAAAAAAAGATTAAACATTGAATGAATTAATGAACTAAATAGTTTATTTATTTATTCCTTTGCCCTTCTAAGTTCTAGGTTGTTTTTTTTGTAATTCTTAAGAAAATTAACTCGCATAAGAGTAGCAACTCAGTATGCTAGAAAACTGGTTACAAGCACGCTAGACCATCTACTGTGTACTTTTGAGGGAGAATCGTAATGTGTGCTACACTCTAGGCGGGTGGTTTTTTTACCACTTTTTTTGTACATTTGTAAATTTGCAAGGTTGTTTATTTATTTTTATTATCCTGAAGAAAATTTGGAGTATTTTATAGCAGAAGTTACTGTCACGATGTTGAGGCATTGCTTTGTGAGCACTAGAAGTGTTTTTAGCCTGTTGCTATGTGGTTCCTGACTGGTCCTCTATAAGTCTCTAATATATTTTGCTCTTTATATACGGCTCAGTTCACTCCTTCAGTGTCAGTATATTGGATTATTTCCCTCATTTTTAATGTCCACCAGACTTAAATCATTAATTATACTGTTTAGAAAAGTAATGGTGCAGCAAGCTGAGCAATTTGATATATCGTTCATATCTTAAGCACGAACATTGCAGGAGACAAGTTGTGTGCCAAAGTTTAATACTTGATGTTAGGGATCAAGTATGAGCAATAGTAATAGTGATGGTTTTCTTAGCAGATAAATGCAGTATATGTTTATCAGTGTGTGTGTGTGTAGACTCAGAGATCGTGCCCTGCGGCTGTGCCTCAGATTCTCCATCTGTTTCAATTAAAGTGAGTGCAGGACTCACTGCACTGCCGGGTTTAAATGTCACAGTGAGAGAGCTCTCACCCTGCCCACAAATGACACCACTTCATAACACAAGATCTGAGCACAATGGAGCACACACACTCCTATAGAGCTCCTCAATAAATAGATTGAGAAGGTGAAATATTGCACCGATTCTTGAGACATGAGACCAAACAGAGCCATACCTGCTGTCAAATGTTTCAAAAATTGCCACAATTCCACTTTGATATTAATCAGAGATGATCACAAGAAGCAACATTTCAGTTTTGTTAACACTTTACGACAAGGTTTCATTCATTAACATTAATTAACTGCATGAAGTAACAATGAACAAAACAGCATTTAGTAATCTTCATGTAATTTCATCGTTTGATTTAAAAAAATGTGTAAGTAAAGTTGGAACTGTTAACATTAGTGTAACATGAACAAACATGCACAATTGTGTTTTTATTAACTAACATTGCCTTTTTTGGATATGGAGAAAATTAATCTCAAGTACCAAGTTTTTACTCTTGGAAGAATTTAGGTTAGCTGCAATCATGTCACATGTGGAGTGAAAAAGTGTGCGAGACCCTCAAATTTTCTTTAATAATTTATATGAACAAATCTGTTAAATGCTGTAAAAATATATTGGTTCATGTTACCTTATTATTGAACTAATGTTAACTAATGATACCTTATTGTAAAGTAAGAAAAAAAATCAAAACTGATATTATCACTTGTACATATACAGTAAATATTACATTTAATAGGAATTTTATTTATAATACTAAATATTAAGTTTAATATACGATTTTCTTTAATAATTTATATGAACAAATCTGTTAAATGCTGTAAAAATATATTGGTTCATGTTACCTTATTATTGAACTAATGTTAACTAATGATACCTTATTGTAAAGTAAGAAAAAACATTATCACTTGTACATATACAGTAAATATTACATTTAATAGGAATTTTATTTATAATACTAAATATTAAGTTTAATATACAAAAAACAATACCACTATGTTCTGACAGAAGGTGATAAAAAATATGATAAAAATATGCTGTTTTTAATCTTTCAAAGGTGCCTCTCTACCTTTTGTCAATAACATCGGATTTATGAAATTATTACTTCAAGTAATTTTAAAGTCACTCTTCATCCTGAAGGTCTTATTTCCATATTTCTCCTGTTATGATTTTATTTATTTATTTATTGTCAGAAATATCATGCCATTTCTATCACAACTTGGAATAAAAAGGAGAAAAAATAGAGAATTTTAGAACATTTCCCTCAAAAACTAAATTATTATTTTTTTCTGATATTGTTGGCACACATTAATTGACAAACTAGGGGAAATAGACATTTTATGAGAAAACAGAAGATGATGAACACATGAATCCAAATGAAATGCTTAATTTTTTGTCCCTGTGCTCAAGAATCTGGCTTTTATTCATGGAGTTTTCTGGAGACTTATGAGGATCTGATTGATCTAGATTTATTCTTTTTCTGTCCTACGTTCTTTTGTTGACTCAAACTGTTCTTGTCACTCTCTGGCAGAGTAAACTCAAGGACTGTTTGCCGTTTGTTAATAAGTAAATGACGACTGCACACAGGGTAGAAAGTTTCCCATGGAAATTCACATTCCTTCTGTGTCTGTCTCATGTGCTCACACACATTAGAGACACGCTATCATCTTCAGTATCAAACATGTGCGTACACATGTTGCATGTGCGTAATGCGTCATACTCACACATGCACTCCCACTCTGGACATCTAGCTGTTTTCCATGGTGAGTTTTTACTTTTTTGTATAAAGCAGTAGATATTTTATTTAATTTTATTTTTATTTTTATTTTTATTTTTATATTTTATTTTATTTTATTTTTTCATTTTATTATTATTATTTTTTTATATTTTATATATATATATATATATATATATATATATAATTTTATTTTATTTTATTTTTTAATTTTTTTTTTATTTGTTTTAATTTTTTTTATTTTTATTTTATTTATTTTTATTTTATCTTAGTATTGACATTATTCTATTTTAGTAGATTGAAGAGAGGAAAACTAGACTGAAACCTAAACCTCAAATGCTTTTGGGATAAAAATTATGTTTTCCATTTTTTAATTGCTATTGCCATTATTTATCTTTTCTTTTCTTTGATTTTATTAGTTATTTCTAGACATTGACATTATTTATGTTCTGCATTTGCATTATTCTATTTTAGCAAACTGAGGAGAGGAAATAATAAGAAGTAAGGGGAAACATAAACCTCTTTTTTTTACATTGACATTATTTATCTTTTGCATTGGCATTATTCTATTTTAGCAGATTGGGGAGTGGAAAGGATCAGGAGAAAGAGGGGGAATTGAATTGGGAAAAGTTGCATGCTGGATTTGAACTCCCATAACCTGCAATAACTTAGAGTTATAACGCCGCGTGGCAGAAAACATGCACTAATCAGTAGCTGTTTACAAAGGCGAACTCGAATGCATACTATACATTAGTTGGTTGTTAGGTCATTGCTAAGTGGTTGCAGATTTTTTTTTTGTTCGTTTTTGTTTGCAAGGCAACATTTGTATATCTGAAGTAATAACACTACTTTCCTCAACAAGCCACATGATTTGAGGTATTATTATCATACAGAAACTATGTGGGATGAGTTATGAAGTTTAATGCTTAGGATTAGGGGTTTGTTCAAATCCCTAACACCCAGTATACGCAATAATAATAATAATGAGGCAGTATCATCAGTGCTAATGACTAAGCAAGCAGCACTAATCATTTTAGTGTTTATCATGGTGTCATAATGTCAGTCTTCTCAGCGTCTGCCTTAGGTTTGCTTTTATTTGCAGTGGAGTCTCTGTAGGCATGGGTCATCTTTATGAGACGCGTCCTGCTAATCGTATTTAAGGCTTATTACCTCTCTCACTTTCTCTGTTTCCGTCACACTCACACTCACACACACACACACACACACACACACACACACACACACACACACACACACACACTCTCTCTCTCTCTCTCTCACACACACACACACATACACTCACTCACTCACTCACAGCCTGTGGTGCTGGCTTCATTAGTACTATCCATCAGCGTTAATGTAGGAGAGGTAAATAATTGGACACAGCGCGTTTGCTGTAGATGACTTCCACCACAGTTTTGGATCCTCGATTAGGAGGCTAATTGCATTTTGCTGCTTTTGACGGCAATCATAGCCATTTCCAAACACTTACAAAACATCTGTCAGAATGAGGGTTAATGCGGCTTCGGCAATCATCTTGCCCGTAAACGCTACCGTTTCCTATAAAGTGTCCGGAACAACCAGATGTTTATTTGCTTTTATAATTAGAGGTTGAGGCTAAACGCATTTCTCATGCTAAAGATCTGCGAGTCAAGTCAGGCCAACAGTGTGTCAGTTCTTTATTTGTCATCTTCTGTTATGTAACGTTGGTTTCACTGTGATATGTGTTCAAAACCGAAATGCTAAATGGTCTAAAGTGAGTCTCGAACTAAGTAGTTCATTGTTTTCCTTGTCTGAGAGTTTTGGTTGAAATTTAAGCTTTGCTTTGGGCAAAGGAATGTGGGAAGACCTTTGGCTATCTTTCCCATCAGCCCATTTCTGTCTTTTAGTTCCTGATGTGCTCTGGGAATCTCAACACAGTTGGCCACGAGCAAGACAATACAAAAGGTAAATGGGACACTACAGTTTTATCAGTGATTTGAAGCGGTCTGCAGAGTATTTGACTGAAAAAAATCAATAGTGTATTTTTATGCACGTCTAAGTTGACCTGTTTACTTTAAATATAAATTCAATATATTTCAAATATTTACAGAATTTAGTGATGTTATATGATTACATTTTTTTATTCTCATTTCTAAAGACTGGTTAGAATTTTTTTTTTTGATTATTCTAAATTAACAGTTTATTGTATTGACACATTTTTAACAGTAAACAACAAATCTGAATATAGTTTTTGTTTTTGTTTTTTTGGGAGGGGGGACAAGTGTTTTATCTTTTGACTTTTATGCTTCTTTAAATGTTATTCATATAAAAAATTATCTTGGGGTCTATTCATCTAACATTAATAGTGGGTATAATAAGATACAGATACTGTCAACTTAATACAAATTAAAAAATTTTCAGATAATATTTTAATACTTATACTGGCTTCAGTACAGTAACAATACAAAAGTAACAACAACATGTTTTCTTTTTCACACTATTTTCTCACACAGTAAAAATGGATCTGTATGCATAAAATTATATATTTGTTTGTTTAATATTTGATGGTATTTGGTATAAAAGCCCTTGATTTACAGTAAGGTCAGTTAGGATCTTATACCATTTGCTGTATGTTTTGTTTTGGAAAAAATTTAGGTTGTAGATTTTTGGGCAAGGTGTACTATTTCTAAGCAATCAGATTTATTGATTTTTTCTTTTTACCTGACAGACCATAAAATAAGGAGAAAAAATCAGTGAATGAAGCTCTCCACTTATAAATTATTTTTGAATGCTGAAATAACATTAGAACTGCATATTTTCTACAAGACTTCAAGAGCTAAACGGAATGATAATTGGTTTTAAACAACCTTTTTCTAGTCACCTTTGTTGTTGATTTTGATGGAAATTGATGCATAATAGTGTGAATCCAGCATGGGCACCTATTGTCCTTGTACATACTAATGTGTTTGTATGGAGCAAAGGCTCTTTTCATCTACAGGTCACAGCTCAACCATTTTTCAGCTCCAACACCGTGAACCATGAAGAACATCACAATACACCAAAACCCATCTGCATTCTGTTGTTTAGAAAGCTATTTCATGCTTACAGCTCTCTCCGCTGTGGGAGGTATGTGTATATGCAGCTAGAAAAACAATTGGTGAGAGTGTCAGGACTAATGTTTACTGTGATGATGGTTGTAGTTGTAGATCGGTGGTGCACTGATATTATTGGCATAACTCCTCTCGGAGATTTCAGAGCACTAATAGCAACACATGGATGATGGGAAGGCATATTACTCTGTGCTTGGTGTTAGTCTCTCAGCTGTAATTATGTTGCACATTGATGTCAACACAAACATGCATTTAATGAGTGTGTTTAATTTTTAGAGCAGATGAGAGCTGCAGGGGCTGGATTTGTGTTGTGTATAAAGTATACTCACAGGCTCACATGCATATAGGCTATAAGTATTGAAACATGCGCAACTAAGAATATTCAATAAACAATAAGCTAATTTTTTTATCATCATTACTTCATCTCCTGCTTCTGTTCTTCTCTGGTTTACATGGTCAACTTCTTGGCTGATAGAAGACTGCTTTGAGTAGGGGTGCTCCGATCCGGATTTTTGAGGCCGATCACCGATCACAGAAAGCAGTATCTGCCGATCCGATCACCGATACCGATCTTTTTAAAGCCTTCTTTTTATCATGTAGAACTATTTATAGTGATGATCCAATCAAGATTTTTAGACATTTATTCAGAGCCTGAATTTCATTTTTGAAAATGAATTCCTCTCTTAGGTGACTCTTGTGAGAGGAATTTTTTTTTCATTTGAGGGGTGCAGGGGGGCATTTTTTAGACATTTTTCAAAAATCTATATTTATCTCACCTAAATGTTTGATCATGCACTGTGTTTTTACAATCGTGTTATTGTTGCACAATAGCTTACACTGCGCAAGCCTGATTTTGTGAGCTGTATGTGAGGTTCACACATACTCCATTTGCAGTGCGTATGTAGTCCATGTGTGTGGTACAGAAGCAGCACGGACTGTGCATTCAAGAATCTGCTCCTGATCCGTGGCTGTTTACCACACACACAACATTTATCCATTATTTTGATTTTAAATCCAAACATTGTTACTTAAAAGGCTTTTTCAATATTGTGATTCTTTTTTACACAGTACAGTAATACAATCTTTCATCAATTATTCAATGCTTTTTACTTTTGCATTTACTTCTAGATATATATATATATGAAGTTGCTAAAGCAAAATTTTTTTATAATTTTACATTTAAATATATTTTATATATAATTTTATAATTACATTTTTATTTTAAATTCTAAATGGTAAAAATTAAAAAATGGTTTAATATTAAATCATTAAATAAATCTAAAATTATTTATATACAGTATATATATATATATATGTGTGTGTGTGTGTGTGTGTGTGTGTGTGTATTTAATGACATTATGTGCAGATTAATTATTAATTAATTAGATGAGAAAAGAATTGAAGAGATATTACAAAAAGTTTTCAAAATAAATATTTTGATTCAACATTGCATAAATAATGGTACTAAATGCATATTAATGGGTTATAAAGGTGAATATTTAAGTATGAAAGATTTAAAAAAAAAATGAAATGATACTCACAATATGAAACTAATAGCACAAGTCAGTGGGTGCATGTCACTATCTTAATGAGTGAGTCATTCAGTCAATCATTTAACAGATTTGTTCAAACAGCTGATTCATTTAGAATCAAATTAAGTGACTTGCTTGCAAGTCTGGCCCTGTCCCAAATGGAACACTTCATGTGCACTTGCGGTCTTACGGACTTACAATGGCCGTGCTGGTCACCATGGGACCATAGGGTGTCCCATTTGTCATTTTAGCGTTCAGAAGGGTGCTCGCAAGTGCCCCCTTTTTGGCCGTTATGCACCCTCGATCCGCACTTCTGCCGAGCCCGCACTGGTGCAAGCTCCGCAGCAGACTTTTACCCCACAGTCAAAGCGGCATTACGTCACGAAAGTGCGGACTCAGAGGAA